ACTCTATCACCGAACATGATGCAATTCTGCACAACTTGAAGACTGCCTTTTTGAACAACTGGATCATCGATCACCTTGGAATGATTGGGCCATCCTTCATTAATTTGTAACACCATCGATTGAAGAACAGGATCTTTTGAGGTTTCAGCAGTAATCATTTCAGACGCCACTGGGAGACTTGAAGTACAATCGCTGAGAACGGCAGCTTCCATTTGTTCTTACATGGAATTTCATCAAACGTGAAAGGAATTCAGCGTGTCCAAATTCCTCAGTCGACACAAACTGGATGTCAAAGTTGTACGGCATCAATGTGAGAGCCCAGCTTAAAGCATCCTTTGGAACCGTTTTACTGCAAAAACTAGAGCCAAGGCTTCTTTCTCGACTTGACCGTAGTTCTGCTCTGCAGCAGTCAGTTATCTTGATACAAGCGCGAAAGCCTTCACTGATCCATTAGAGAAGCGATGCATAATAACAGCGCCAACCACATCTTTGGATGCGTCACCTGCTTCTATGATTTCCTTGTTCGGGTTGAAGTTTTTTAGTAACAAGTCAGAAGTGAGTAGAGCTTTGAACTTCTCGAATGACTTTTGACATTCCATTCCTACATCAGGTTTTTCTTCAGCAAGCTGTCCATCGGTGCCCTAAGCACCTTCATTTGCTTGACAAAACGTCCATAATAATTGATAGCCCCAAGGTACGATCGAAACCATCTTTGTCGATGATGTGGCCTCGGAACTTGATTTGCGAGATACCAAAACGGCACTTGTCGAATCTAAGGTGGAAAACGTCGTTCCAGAACTTCATTGAGGCTTCGGTCAATTTGTGATTCTTCATCAACCGCGACTTGCAGGTCAAGTTGGAAGAAATACCGGCAGCCAGCCAGGTCAGCAAAAATATCATCTGGATGTGGAAGTGGGTGACCTTCCGATTCTACCGAATAGTGGCCACGAATTCCAACAGAAACGTTGTCGGATTTCCGGACCACAACTATCGGAGTTGTTCAGTCAGAAAACTTCACTGGCGAAATGATTCCGTTTTCTTGCAGTCGTTGAAGTTCGGCATCGACCTTTAGAAGTGCTGCATAAGCCACCGGTCTTCTTGAACAGTACACGGGACGGACGTTGGGCTTCAAATAGAGTTTTACCTTCGCTTTAAACAGTGCATCGACCAAGTGTGCTATGGACAGTGTCTTCCGGTCCAGCGAGTTGAATGGAATCGAACACAGATCAAATAACTTGATTGTTTCAATTCCCAGGATATTCAAATCAGGGTTGATGACACGTAGGCAACTCCTGTATTCTTCACACCTCGGATGGTAAATTCACACCAACAATGCTGATCTTGTCTCCAGAAGCGCTGATTGCCGTTATCTCAGTTTCCTTGAAGCTTGGATTCCGATTGCTTCCCACGTGTGTGTTGATATGACCGTGACATCGTTGCCATTGATTCCAACAGAAACGTATTTCCTCTTGCCTTGAAGATCGATACGCTCGATGGAAATTCCTTTGAACTTGATGAACTCCTTGGGCTTGGATTTTTCGAACTTCTTTCGAGGTTTTGGTTTTGATTCGGAAATTGACCAATTTACCCTTCTTTATGCCCCTTGCGTTTGCACTTATTGCAGTTGTGGTCTTGATAGGGACATTACTTCACAAAATGCATAAACGGCGTTAACGACGGATTTCTCTCTGCTTTAAGTTGTTGAACCGATGGCACTCTTCGACGAGACTTTCCAAGGTGAGCTTTGAAACTTCCGCCGGCGGAGCATTCTCTTCAGCTTCCAGCTTACCGATTGATCGGGTACGGATGGCTGCATTTCGCGGAGACTGTAGACCACAAACAAAACGTTGTGCCGTCCGATAACTTGGAGAGCTTCGCAGTGTTTATCTATGGAGGCAGCAAAGTTTGAAAAATCGTCAGCATCAGTCTTCATGTGTTAAAGGCACAGGAACCGATCGTTGAAAAGGGAGGGCTTGCGACCGTAAAGCGTCTTGAGTTTCTTCACCGTTTCGTCCCGGACAAAATCGCGTGGATGATTTGGCAGGATACTATTGACGTGCCGTTCATCGAACTGGGTGCCAATCTTCCTCAAGAGTAGCCTCAACTTCGCGGGGTCGTCCAGATTCTTGCCGTCGATCTTGAAAACATCTTCGTAGCGGGTGTACCAAGCGTCGAATGATACTCCACCATCAGAATCGTATTAGAAGCATACACGCTAACTTGAATGTACCCATTAATGGTTGAAAAAGACCCATTTTGAAGAAAAGTGGCTTAACTCATTAAATGAGTAAATTTTTTACGCATTAATGAGTATCTGTTACCCATTAATGAGTAATTGTTAATCATTAATGGGTAACAGATACTCATTAATGGGTAAAATTGTTTAATCATTAATGAGTTAAGCCACTTTTCTTCAAAATGGGTCTTTTTTTACTCATTAATGAGTACTTTCAAGTTAGCGTGTAGAGGTAACTCTAAGACCATAAGGTGTCGAAGAAAAGCTCGGGTACTCTGTTCGGTCTCAAGCAAATCGATGCACCCCTCGAAACATAGGAAAATTCACGAACCCCTCTTTTTATATGTCAAACTTTCATAGTGAATCAAAACAAACATAGTGTAGTACTAGAATTTAGACTAGACTGGAGTACGTTAATCGATTTGCTTGGGACCAATAGACTATTCAAGCAGTGAGCCAATTTGAAATCGTTAGTTTCCTCCGGCTGGTAGAAGTCTTCAATTCCTGTGGCCAACGGTTCGTCAACTCTTCCTGGTTGGTTGACCTGACCGGTCCAGTTGATGCGTTGGATCTGTTCTTGTTGAAGGGCTCGTTCAAATCCTGGTTTTACATGATCTGAATTGATTTGAAGTGACTCGAACTTGTCCTCGTCGCTGTTGGTTAACTAGGTCTACATACTTCGAAGGTCCGAACATTAATGAATGTAGAAGATAGTTGTGCCAAATACCTTGATTATGCATAGGCTTCTAAGATGTACGTTTCATGTGATTACTATGCAACAGTTACGAAGATTCTGACCACGTAAAAAAACCATCTCCGGATAGAACAGTGGTTGAGGGTTTGGCTTATCATGGTTAGGATCTGGATTCACATCAAGTTTCGATAGCTTTCGTTTGATTGGATTGTATAAATGACTCTCTTCCCGGTAAGTATTTTTAATTTGTTTGGCGAGTTGATTACAAACAAACTATACACATTCCTCAGTGTCTACTAGATGGAACTCAATTGTTCTTTTGGGCTGTTGATAAACTACGAAGACCGATATGGATGTTTTAAACCGATTGTTAGAGGTGGTCGGGGGCGCACATATGAAAATTCAGAGAGTAACCAACTCTCATTTTAGCAGCACTGACGTTTCGTGCCATTTTTAGAATGTTAAAATTTGGAATTTACGAAAAGCCTTTCAACGTTTTCTAGGCTGTTTGGGGTTTGCCAGCTTCTAATGTTTTAGAGATCTCTCGCTTACACTACTAAGCAATCGAATCTACCTCAGTAGCATAAAGATGCACTTTTTGTAACAGCATAATACAAATTTTCATTCGGTTGAATCGCCAACCAAGCTATCTGCCACGAATAGCCAACCAAGAAAAATTCAATGAAGTTTCATTCCAGCTATTTCACAATGAACCTAAAACCCTCATTACCAATTTCCGCACCATCAACGAATCCCAAACGGTGGTGCCAGATAAGATGGAGTGTGTCTTTATTCCGCTCTATTTACGACGCGGGTCGATCTCGAACCGAGAAGAAGTCGCATTCATTCCCGGCTGATGCTGACTGATGCTGCTATAACCAAACATCAAACCCAGCACAACAACAAGTGTGCCATTCGCATCCGCGTGTCTTCTGCGTCTCCGATGCTATACGTTCACGGACAACCGGGACCTGCATCCAACCGAATCGACCGAAAACAAGTGCATTTTTTGCGGCCCAAACTTCGGGATCTGACAGATTGCTCGCATTTCCTGGGAAGCCGAAAGTGATCAGCGATCGAGAGCAGTTGGCAACACTGGCAGCTACGCAGTTTGATGAGATGAGATCCATTCCGATGATGATGAACACGTGCACCTTCCCGCGTCCCGTCTGACTTCGGCTTGGATTCAGTTCACTTGGGATTAAATGTTGACGATATCCATCGAAGCATTACATACGAACGATCACAAACTCAGCACTTAATTAGCGCACTTCTTTCGTCCGTTTCCCTTGCTACACTAATGATGATGAATATTTCGCCGCAGAAACCACACCGCGCGTAGTATTCCTTTGGATGAGCGAACTAATGATTGCGAATGTTGGTAACTTGGCAGCGACTATTTCTTATTTTCTTTTATCAAACTTGTTCAAAAATAAGTTCAGCTTTGACACCTTTCCGGCTGCAGCGGCAGCCGGTTAAAAGTGAAAATGGTTATTTTTAAGTTGGAAACCGCAAAATAAGCGGAATCCTGCTCGGCTGGGAATGATTTATGATGTAAACAAATGGCTGCCATGGTGATAGTCGACCGCGCGGCGCCATCTTCTGTCGATTTTCGGAACGTTGATTTTTCCAAAGTGGAAAGCGAACACTGACGTGCCACCAATGCCAGATGCGCCGGGTTAGGTCAAGAAACGGCACTAATAAAGTTGATATTAAACATTCACATCGTCATGATCGCCGCCGTCGTTGTGCGGCATTCTTGACAGAATCAGGTCTAGATGGGAAACATATGATCGCCGGCAGCGACAAGACATCCAATATCGTTCGCGGAACGGCTCCCGCTCTCTCTCTCTCTCCCATTTGATATTTAATATTTTTTTTTCTGCTGCGCCAACGAACGTCATCGTCAGCATCGTCATGACCATCGTGATGTGTCCCTTAAGGAGGGATTTTAATTATGCAGGGTACTATTCTGCCATATAGCACGACATTATAATTGAATTTGCCCAGTTCCATCAGCGGATGATCCATCTTCACGTCTACTAAGTAGTTTCATTTCTCGTTCCGCAGATCACCAACAGATAAGAAGAAAAATCACATCAAACGGCCGATGAACGCGTTCATGGTCTGGGCCCAGGCGGCACGACGCGAAATGTCCAAGCAGGAACCGAAGCTCCAGAACTCGGAAATTAGCAAGGATCTGGGCAAGATGTGGAAGTAAGTGTTGGTTTTCAGGCTTTTCGTAAACTGCTGAATATTGTAGAGTTAAGACGATCTTGGTTTCAAAGAATGGGCGGTCGATTCACCATTAAATGTTTAACTATAAGCAAACGTAACTCTTTGGACAACCTAACATTACGGAATTCAGCAATGGCATCTTGTGAACTGGTTTACAAAGTTACAAACAATGTAGCATACCTACACACTTGGAAAAATTGATGTAAATTTAGGAGCTCGAAGACTGAATAGATAATAGATGCGAAATTCAGCTCAATCAAACGTACTTTCGAACTTTTCAGTTTCGGAACACTTAATTTTACAAGACATGTTTGTTTACGTCTCATTCTTTATGTCAAAGATGGATTCCATCACGTGTAAGATTAGGTATTTCTAAGTGTGTATAAGAAAATTGGATTCTTAGGAAACGTCAATACGATCGGATACAGCAAATTTGTGTATTATTCAGTATTCAGTTCCAACCAGGATCGGGTATCACGACCGGGTTTGCTTGTTTTCTGATCTGACAAACGTCAGTTTGCTCGTTTGTTTATCAAAATCTTGGAAGTTTGCATTAAACTACACAATAAGATATAACTAATTTTACATGTGAAGGAATCCATATTTGAATAAGATATAACTTATTTTACATGTGAAGGAATCCATATTTGAAATAACACTGAAAAGTTCGATATTCGAAGGAAAGTATGTTTGATTGAGCTGAATTTCATGTCTGTTATGACTCAATTTTATGTCCAAAATTGACGCTTGTATACCCGCATAAACGCGAACCATCACATGACCTTACCGATAATGGTTATAAATTGTTTATAATCCCTGCTAAACTTCAACTGAAATGGTTATGGAACTTTACATGAACGTTTGTGTGATAAAGTTTTAACCTTATGTATTATGGTTTTTTGGAAGCGGACCTTACACATAATGGGTTGTTAAGAACCATTACCATTCCAAATTCTTGTTTTCTCCATACATTTTCGGAAAGAGAACTATATTAGAACGTTTTTACTTATGGTTTGAGAACATTAATGGTTATGGTTATGGTAGTCAGTAAGGTCTATTAATGGTTTTGTATTATCACTCAACTTTACGTGAAATATATCGTGAATTGGCAATCAGTAATTTACAGGCAACCAATTCGCGATATATTCCACATAAAGTTGATCGATGTTACAAAACCATTCATGGACCTTACTGGCTACCATAACCATTACCATTAATGTTCTCAAACCATAAGTTAAAAGGTTTTAGTATAGTTTTCTTTCCTAAAATGTATGGAGAAAACAAGAATTTTGAATGGTAATGGTTCTTAACAACCCATTATTTGTAAGGTCCACTTCCAAAAAACTATAATACTTAAGGTTAAAACTTTATCATTAAACGTTCATGTAAAGTTCCACAACCATTTCAGTTGAAGTTTAGCAGGGATTTTAAACAATTTTAACCATTTTAGGTAAGGTCAATTTATGGTTCGCACTTATGCGGGTATGCTAGCCCTAATAAAATTTGTATGGTTATTTTGCTTAACGACGTGTTTGGGGTATCATCCAAACCATTTGTGGAAAAGTTCAACAATTTGGGTTATCGTTCGTTTATGGTATTTATTTATTAGGGAGTCTCAGAGCGCCTAACAATTTGCTATAACGACTAGTATTAATTCATTGTGACCCTCTGAAAGCAAAATTGACTGGTTTTATGTGTCAAAGAAATATACAATTTGCCCGAATCTGAAACAGATGACTAATGAGGACACATCTCTATCTAACCACCAGCATATAAAACTCAACAGCATATTCACTATCTTTCGGAGAGTGCATCACTAAGATTTTGGATCACAATTCTTTCTGCATGATGGGTTTGACATTTTCACTCCACAGTGTTCGGACGGTCCTGGATTGGGTCCTGATTGGCCTCCCGGGGTTTGGACTCGCTTGGTGAAGGACTGGCTTGGCGCAAGCCGTTGGAGGTTTGTATGGGGTTGCTGTGGGGTATCCGAACTTCTTGTTCATTGCCTTTTGGCCTTTTCCGTGTTGCACTGTTCAAAAGTTCTGTGGCTGAATTTTCTCAGCTATAACTTTGCAGAATATAGTTTTTAAGTCTAACGTCAATTAAAATAGTTGTTAATTGTTTAAGGGATTGATAGTCTTGCGGCATGATCAGGCTACTGTTTTGTTGGCAACACTGTGTTCTGCAGTGTGACATAGTAGCCATGATTTTTGTGCTCTATTGGCGTTGACGGCACCGTCAAAAAATTTGCTAGCAAATATAGACAGTTCCGGAGTGATTTGAGATTTGGGCGTAATTGTATTTTTAAACAACACGTCAATCTCCGATTTATCGCGAATAAAAGCTCAATTTTGAAAACTAATAACACTATGAGGTAGAGGTATAATTCCTCTATCATTTGGTATAGTTTGTTTATAAGATTGAGCTTTTATTCGCGAGAAATCGGCGATTGACCTGTTTGTTTACAAATACAATTACGCCCAAATCTCAAATCACTCCGGAGTTTCTTATGGTAATAAAAGTCCGCCATGTTTCACGCACAGTCTGACGTTTGCTTATGGATTTTCTCATAGGAGGAAAGAGCTACAGAGTCGCCGTTAACGCCAATTCTACGTGCCGGAAACACCAGTGTTGCCTGCTGGACAGTTGATTGAGCATAATCATGGGACGTTAGTTGCTTGGATCATTAATAGCTGTTGATGCTTATATTCTATCGAAAAGTGGTCTTACACAGAGTTGTGGCTGAGAGAGTTTGCATCGGGCTCAGTTATAGTTTTTGAAGTGGAGCGATACTGTGGATTGATGGATGGATATGAGCAGAATGTTTGGTTTTCCCATAGTAATTTTAGATTTTGCATAAGTCTAATAGCCACTGAGAGAGTAGGTATATCCCATTATTCAGGTTCGTCTGACATACGACAGGTATAGATTGGACTTCGTCTTGTGTATTGATTTTACGTTAATCGGCTGAGCGGCCTTTGATGATTCGAGCAGACGTTTAATATTTTGTGGACAAAATTTAAACGTTGGTTCCAGTCGTTAGGGCTGCTGGGAAGATTACCGAAATTACTTCTATTCAGGTCAATGTCAATATTAATGCTCTTCTGCTAACCAACGATCCTGTCAATGTCAATGTCAATTAGTTATATAATAAGCTTATTAATAGAAATGAGTGTAAATCGATTCTAAACTTTATCTAACTTAACCCAAAAATCACCTTTAAAATACTATACTAGTTTGTAATGTGTTTTGAGTAGGTATCAGAAGCATAAATAAGAATAGTTAATAATAATTACCAGAAATCACAAATGATACAAATTAGTTTCCATAGACTTTTGATAGGACGGTCTTTAATCATTTGTTTGTATGTTGGATTTTCAATCTTTTCAATAACAAGCCTCAAATTTAATGCACTAAAGTTACGTCTCGTATTGGATAATTTTCTATAGGAACTTACATATTAATATTAACAAAATTAATTGTTAAATAACACCTTCTTTTCTTGGTGAAATTTTTCTCTTCACATGATTACAACCTATCTCACATCACATTAAATCTTAATAAGGGTCCTTATATCAAATCCAACGGCATCGTAAAAATGAGTTCAGAGGAGGCAGCTCCTACACCAGGACCATATCTATCGACCCATCAACTTATGAACCGGCGACCAACGGCTTTACTTCCCTTCCGAAGGAAGGCGTGATCAGAGATGTTATGCCTCAGAACATCCCGGCAGCGCCGACTGGGATTGAACCCAGGCCTGCTGGGGTGAGAGATAATCACGCTTACCACTACACCACCGGCGCCGCTTACGGTTGAGAATTAGTTTCTCGAACAATTTGAACAGCGCTGAAAGGAGGCTGATTGGCCTGTAGCTGGAAGGTAGTCATGGATCCTAAGCGGGTTTGCGGATTGGTATGATTTTTGCTACCTTCCAGATACTTGGAAGGTAGTGCAGTTCCAAGCATCTGTTGAAGATATCAGTCAAAAGAATTAGAATCTTGGTGTCGTGGCAGTGAAGATGGTGTACTCAACTACTTCTGCATTACCGATGGATTAAAATATGGTTGCTTCCGTAACATAGTTTCCGCTTGACGATAGATACATTTTGTGATTGGGTGGATCTGAGGACAATTGGGTGGGTTAATGTAACCTGATTGAAGTGCATTTTGGCAAACTTCTCATGGTATATCATCCTTCGAACCTGGTTAAAACATGCGTATACAGGTTTCAAACACATACATAGCCATCTGATTCAGATTTAGCGACATTTTTGGATGCTGCAGGTACGAAGCAAACGAATTCATCGAAGGAAGGATTCGGTTTGTCTTTTCCGTAATAACAAGATGGACGGAATCCTTCCACATCCTGCCAGTTATAGCCGTTCGATCCATCTTTCCATCGTTCGATTGCATCTTTCAAGTTGCAAATGTTAAATAACAATCCTTTTCCTCCCCGATGACCGTGAAGACGTGGCTGGCACCGTTATTAACCTTGAAAGTAATGATTAGTCGATTTGTTCATACTGAGAATGGATTGGAAATCTCAAGCCCCATCTACCCAATGAGGTAAATACAAGGTGGGGAGCAACGCATATTGCCAATGTGTTAGTAGGGAAACAAAACAAAAACAAGTTTAGGCAGGTTTGGTGACGTCACTACTTGAAACTGCACAGCAAAAAAATAATTTTGATATCACGTCAAAGTGGATGCACTACAATCATGTCGAAAATATGGTGTAATATTACTTGCTAAAAAGGACAAAATTATCATTAATACAATGCATGAACTGACATTACATTGCTTTTACTGCATTTGTTTATTTATGTGGTCATAAAAATTACATGAAATTTTCGACATAATTGTAGTGCATCCACTTTGATGTGATATCAAAATTATTTTTTTGCTGTGTGGTTATTCTGTTGTTGTGAAGGAAATTGTGTTTGCTGGTAGTTATTCAATTAAATGTGATTGAAT